TCTTGGATAGATATCTTGTCATCTTTCACCATATCAGGGAAGTTTTCTGTCAACAAATCTTCAACAATTCTTTCTGTATTTTCTGTTATCCCCCCTTGTTCTGGTAATCCAATCACTCATAGGTTATTCCTCTTGATAGAGTCCCACATAATTCTTAGGGTTTTTAAATTGTTTTTAATCCTTTTATCTGATTTTTCCTCAAATAAGTTGGTGTCAAGTGCTTTATCTTCAGTCTCACTAATTCTGACTTCCATTGCCTCGATTCTGCTCCTATGACTTTCTCTTGAGTTGTCTAATTCTGAAATTTTATTGTTAGTCTTCTGGATTTCTGATTGCTGACTCTCTACGGATTCTTGCAGCCTGTTAAATTTGTCTTTATGCTCTTCTCTAATCTTTTCAGTTTCCCTATTGCGTGTTCTGCATTTTGCTTAGTTTCCTTCCTCATGTCTTGAAGAGTTCTGTATATTAATCTTTTGTATTCTGCCTCCGGTAATTCCCAGAAATTTTCCTCCTCTGAAGCCATCATGGATTGCCTCTTTATGTGATTTGATATTGACTGTTTTCTGCAAGCTATCAATTAGTTATTATATTTATTTATTTTATGTTTGCTTACTGTGTCCTAGCTTCTTGTTTTGTTTTGATATGCCCAAATAGGCTGCTAGTATGAGCTAGTTTGATTATTGGCACCTTTGAAGCTCTAATGTCCTGTCACCAGGTTGTTAGATCTGTTACTAGGTATGTGAGCTCAGGAGTCCACCCACTCCTCCTGTAAGGATTCAACTCAAGTGCCCAGGTAGATAGCCACCAAATGTGTGGTGTAGGCTCTCACTTATAGTGCTAGACAGACATGGGTGATTGGTGTAGGCACAGGTTTCTGGCTACAGCAGGGGGACACACTCTGAGCAAGGCAGGAGGCTGACAGCCACCCCCAAGTGTTCAGGAGGAAGGTGTGTCCCTGTTTCTTAGAGCACATAGGTGGGTGGGTTTTGGAGCTGGACTATTAGCACCTAATGCTGTTGGCTGTAAGGACTGGGGGTCATTTCGTATTCATGGGCCGCTATTGCAGGTGGCTAGGTGGCGTGGGTGGAGCTACCAGTCCTCAGGCCCCTGATGTGGGTAGGTGAAGACCCTGCTCAATGGGCAGAGCAGTGTCAAATGTCAAGAACCTCTCACTTCATAGCTGAAACAGTTGAAGTTAGACTTCTGGTATATACCCTGTTGTACTGCAGTAGTTAGGGCCTATGCTGTTGAAATGGGCCCACACAAGTCTATGCAGGGGGAAAGGCACTCAAAGTCCGTGGATCCCGTATGCCTGTGCCTAGGCAAAGGAGCTGTGCCTACCCTGGGTTCCTAGCTTAGGGGAGCCGCCAGTTTATTTTTTCCCGTTTGTTAATTAGGTCACTCTCCAAGGCAGATAGAATGGGTCTGGACGTGTGACGGATCCTACTTCCGGCCCAGGGTACTCAGCAATTGCTGAAGCCACTCCAGGACCAAGTGCAGAGCGGGGAGCGGGAAGGTAAATGGGAGAGAGGTTTTTTTTCCCTAAGTGGGGTGTTTTTGATCTGCACAGTAGGCCGTATGCCATTACTCATCTTTCACCAGATAAAGGGCTACTTCTCACTGGTTCTGGGTAGCTGTGTAGACTCTCTGGTGCTAGGTCTCTCCCAGTGCGGAAAAGGCGCCTCCTGAGCACCACTGCTTGTCTGCCTCACCACTCACCCATGAGCTGCTCAGGCCTGAAGGGCTCAGGCTCACGCTGAGTCAGGTCTGGCAACTCCTTGCTGCTTCTGAAGGATCTCTCCCTCCCCCTGCCACTCTATCCAGTTTCTCAACTCTGCCTTTGATGTTCATGGCTCCCACATTGCCATATACAATTGAATCACTTGTTTTTTGGGTCTGTGTTCTAACAGGGGCCGGAAGCGTCTGACTACTCAGCCATCTTGGCCCCGCCTCTGCATCTGAATTTTTTTAAAGCTCCCCCAGGTGATTCTAATGTACTGCCAAGGTTGAGAACAACTTCTTCCCCTACCTACCTAATATAGACATCATGGGGACACAAGAATAGGGACCAAATGGCTTCCTAAATCTTTACTATCAATAAAAACCTCTTAGAAGAAATTCCCTTGTCATTTTGAAGCACCTCTATTAATACTAATGTTATCCTTATTGCTCCATTATGGGTTGATTTTATAGATAAGAGTGCTCTGAAATGACCAAATTTAGGCAGAATTCCAGCCTTATGCCTCAATGCTTTTTTGAAAACACTATTCTTTTTTGTATTGACTCCTTGTTGTTCATTATAGTATTGGCTGATGGTATGGGTATTTTTTTCAAGCAAACTGTTTTTCCATGGAAGTCATTATGAATACAGTACAATAATTCTGCATTATTACTGTCAGAACCTAGATTGAAATTAATGACCTAAGAATGGAACAAACAAAAAAGTCTGCACCAATTAATTCCCAGAGCTCTCCAAAGAACTCTTCCTAACACTTGAAATTTATCATGAGGAAATATATTCCCTTCTTTTTTTTTTTTTTATGGTTTAAGATTATGCAATAGAATTCATTTATATTTGCTATTCATAATTTATAACCCCACAGTATTCTTGTGTTTATGAAAGTGTTTTATATATTCATTGATAAGAATTGTCTTGTCCTCAGGAAAAAAAAATTTAATTTAAAATTTGAAACAATAATAAACAACAGTAAATGTGCCAAATCATCAGTAAAGCCAGTTTATTTTTCAATCAATTTCCTTTGGGGGGGGATAGAATTGCAGGTGCTTAGAACCAATTATGTATCATTCTCTGGGGATTGTGATTCAGGGAAATTAGACTCTCACATTTGCCTGGAGGAAGTGCTGGTATGGAATATTGGATTGGAAGAGATTTGAGAACATCCTCCCTCCAGTGCAGAATCTCTTTTGCATCCTCCTGTCAGGTGGAGTTTAAATACTCCCTATGAAGGGCAGCTCCGTAATTCACGAGAGCACCGTGTGTTATAAAATTCTTTCTTAGATCCCAGAATATTAACACTTGAAGGTACAAGTCACCCATTTTATAAGCCAAGGTCAGTAAGGCTGAATTTTCCAGAGTTTACTTGTTGTTGTTGTTGTTAGGTACTGTCGAGTTGGTTCCAACTCATAGCAACCCTAAAGGACAGAGTAGAACTGCCCCATAGGGTTTCCAAGGAGCTGCTGGTGGATTTAACTGCTGACCTTTTGGTTAGCAGCTGAGCTCTTAACCACTACGCCACCAGGGATTTGCTTAGGCAGGCCTATGTAGCTACATGAGCATGAACTTGAAGTCCACACACAGGTCTGGGACAACGCCCAGTTCCATGATTTGTGTGACTTTGAGCCTTATTCCTTCACTGTAAAATGAGAAAAATAATTCTTCCTTTAGATGCTTATGCTGAAAATTAAATCAAATATAGATAATATGGTCTGGCACAGTTCCTGGCACATGTAACAGAGTAAGTGCCAAGTAAAATTTAAAAAAAAACAATTGCCACGGAGTCAGTTCTGATTAATGGTGAACCTACGTGTATCAAAGTATAACTGTGCTCCATGGGGTTTTCAGTGACTAATTCCGAGGCACCCCAAGGTGGACTCAGACAGCCAGTCTTTCAGTTAGCAGCTGAATGTTTTAAACATTTAATCCACCCAAGGACCCAAGTGACCAATAGATGTTGTTAAACTTTTTCCTTTCTTCCTATCAAAACCTTCCCTCTTCATTCATACCTACTTCGAATGTCCCCTTTTTCATGAGCTGTCTTTACTGCTCCTACACACAGTGCTCACTCCTGTCCTCACATATTTTGTATTTACTCATGTTTTGATTTATATAAGGAATAGGGATTAAATGACCAAATGAATGAATGAATGAATGGTGTTGAGACTCAATCTCTTGCACTCACCAGCCTGACTGTGTTCAATTCTCTTCCTATGCAGAGGCCTCTCCAACTAACCTCACCAAAACTTTCACCAATCACACTAACATCTTCATCGTCAACCACACCAACACCATGCTTACTGGCCAAACTGTCGTCCTGGAAGAAGGCCAGACGCTCGTTCTAAAGTGTGTTGTTTCTCAGGCGAAGAACTCTTCCCTCCAGTGGCTGGCCCCCTCAGGGTTTACCATGTTTTTAAATGACCATCCTGGTAAGTGAAAGGGAAATAAAACTGTCACCAGACCTCAACTTGAGGGATTTTCCAGACAGACAAGGTGGTGGGAAAGCCAGTGTGAGTCACACAAAGGGTGGTCTCAGCCCACTTACTGTTACACGTGAATCACATCCCCAAGTCTGTTACTTCACACATAGTTGCTTTTTCTGACAGGAAGTCTGAAATGGAAATCCCACCAGAATGGTTTGTAAAAGGGGCCCACATGACAGAGAGCCTTTCCGTGCCCCTACCCCATGTCCCACGTTCACTTTCTGATTGTCTGTGACCTTGAAACAACTGACAACACAATCATTGGCAGGTGGGGTGGATGGCAGGCTGACACTATCACCTCACATCTGGAGTCAGCTGCTTCATCTCTCATCTAAGAAGCCCAGAGTCTCACCACAAATCTCCCCTCCTTGACAGTCCTTCTCCTCCTGTTGGTCTTAGCATAAAATTGAGATCACAAAGCAATAGGAATTGACAGGATGTATTACTTTGGACAGAGATTCAGTCATTCCTCTCCTCACAAACACCCATGAAACGAACCCTAGATGCCTGAGATGGAAAGGGACTCTTAAAACGTCTACTGAGTTCATCTCTTCGACTTTGACGGCATTTTCATTTATTATTCCGAAACCCAAAATACTTGGTAAAGTTGCCAAAACAGCAACTTTTGTCTTGTTTATGATGCAGACCTCTCAAGAATTTTATATTCTTAGAAAACATTATTAAATATGGATATTTTAAATGTAAAATAATCAAATATATTATTTTGAGCTAAATCAGCTATTATTTAATCCTAGATTCCAGCAGAATAAGTAGATACTAATTGTTTAACAAAACTTCTGAGAAAAAAAATTAAGTAGAGATAATCCTGTTTATTAAAGCTTTTTGTTTTGTTTTTGGTAAACAGGAAGAAGCTGGCCATTCTCAGATTTCTGCAGCTGAATGCCTTGATCTAGCTCAGTGGTTCTCAAGTGGGGGTCATTTTGTCCCCCAAGGGACATTTGGCAATGTCTGGCCATATTTTTGGTTGTTATAACTGGAATCTAGTGGGCAGAGACCAGGGATGCTGCTACCAAAAAAAACCAAACCCGTTGCCATTGAGTCGATTCTGACTCACGGCAACCCTATAGGACAGAGTAGAACTGCCCCAAGGGTTTCCAAGGAGCAGCTGGTAGATTTGAACCGCTGACCTTTTGATTGGCAGCCGAGCTCTTAACCACTACTAAATATGGTTGAATGCATAGTACAACCCCTCACAGCAAAGAACTGTCAGCTCAAAATGTCAACAGTGCTAAGTTGAAAACCCTGAATTCTCGCTCATGTATGTTACAGTGTCACAGGCCTCAAAACTGTTGTTCCAGATAGGGAACAACCTTCCTTAGTCAGCCATTCAAAGTATAACTATTTCAGACTTGTTCATATTATATATCTTAGCAGTAAAAAGAAAAAAAAACACCCACTCATTTCAGGAGCCTCTCATTTGCTAATCGATCTTTGACTTGAGATGGAAATCTCATACAATCAAGAGAAATGTTTGCTGTTGGCTAGAGCTTCCTGGGACTTTTCTCTTTGCCATTGGCTAAACACCTGGAAGGATTAAGTCATAATCTTTGGGAAACTTCAAATCATAATGAACTTTTTAAAATTAAAAAATAAAAGGCACACAGCTAGACTGATGAATATCAACCCATTTATCTCCCATTCTTCACATTCATTGTGACAAGATGACCTCAAATGAATCGGATTTTTAAGAAGTAAATCTACTGGGGCTTTTTTCAGAATATTTAAAGAAAAAAAAAAAAGTTACTTAAAATCCTCCCACAACCTGAACCCCACACAAGCATAGTGTTCTTATTTACAAACACAAATAACAAAATCTGTTTATTTCACAGATCCCGAATCAAAATATTTCATTTCTTAAATTGACTTTGAACTATTGAGAGGCATCTAGCTGCTAACACTAGAATTTTGAAGGCAGCTAAATCAAAGACATGACATTTGTTTCTTGAAAGTGTGAAAATCCAGATATTCCTGTGAATAATAAATCTACTGAGAGTCTGTATTCATCTGATACCTTTCCTCATAACCTCTCTTTTTCCCTCTTGTACAGCTTTAAAAAATCCCAAATTCCAACTTCTTCATCACTCCATCAATGAGCTCTCCATCAGCTTGTCTAACATAACTGTGCAAGATGAAGGTGCCTACAAGTGTTTGCATTACAGTAACACCTCCGTGAAAACAATGGAAATTAAAGTGATTGTGCTAGGTACGTGCAAGTAAACCCAGTAAGGGAACAGTATACTTATGGACAGGATATATAATTTTTAAGCTTAACATTTTAGTAAAAAAATAAAAAATTACTGCCAATAGCAAGGCATTTCCTAGGCCACCTCTGCCATCTTTTGTTGAACGGAAACAGAAGAGAACATTTTGAGTGGCGTGCTTAGAACAAGTTCTGGATAAAGCTTGTAAAATTTATCTTTGGTATCAACTAAATTTCCTCAGGATAACTAAGAAGGAAGAGACTTAATATCTGATAAGCTTTGACTCTGTGCTAGGCATCATGCTTTGCTCTAGGGAATCAAAGATGAATTAGGCACCATCTCTTACCATGAGGAAATCAAAACATGTATGTAAATAAAGAAAAACCCCATGACAGTATGTACCAAGATATAAGGTGCTGGGCGATTTGCTCACATTCTCTGCCCAGCAGGAGTTCCTATTTTCTGTTGGGAGTGTATTAGTGTGGATAGGAAGTGACAGCCTCATGACAGTCTGGACTTACTCAGTCCTATGAATGGTCAGTTGTGTCAGGTATAAGTTTCACTATCTTTACTTCCTTGTTTTGTGTGTGTGTGTGTAGAACAGATCAATTAAAATCATAGTTTTTCATTAATCTCTAAATAACACAACCCCACATACTATGCAAATGAATTTCTTAGACTTACTTGTTGAATTATTACAGTGTGGTGCCTGCCATAAGTAAGGGCATGGCAGGAAAGCAGTTGAGAAGGAATGGCCTTCTGCAGGTTTTGAGAACCAGTGGGGTTGCCTCCACCCACCCTTACTGGCCATCCCAACACTCAGCCCATGGTCTTCTAATGAACAGTTTAAGGGCTGAGTCCAACACTAGACAATTAGCTCCTTGAAGGGCTGTACTTTTTTCATCTTTGTATTGCCAGCATCGAACACATCTATTGCTCAGTTGGAGCTAATAAGTGCCTGTAGAATGGCTAGACGGCAGGATGGCTGAGTAAATAAATGTGGAAGAGTGCAGCTTTGGAACAAAGTGTGGAGCTGAATGTGAAAGAAGGAAGCTTAACTAAAAAGATTTTCCAATACAGAAATAGGAAAAAAAAGGACCAACTTGCCCTTTATAAGAGAAATACATTTTTGATGTTACATGAAGGGAACAGAAGTAACTTACATTGGGGTGAGTTATAGACTCGTGAATGTGTAAAGCTGGAAGAGCCTTAGAGTTTATAAAGCACCTCTTTCTTGTCAGAAAAGGAAACTGATACACCCAGAAGTTAGGGTACTTATCCAAGTTCCTACAACTATTGGTGACAGAGGTGGGACTAGTTTCGGACTTTTCAGGGACTAATCACACACTGAATAACAAACATTCTGAATTCAGCCAAAAGAGCTTTGCAAGCATATAAAAGCCCTTTATCTTGACTGTATTCTGGAAAAGGTCAAGTAAAAAATATGCCTATGAATTAGACCATACCCTAGAACGATCCTTAGAGAGTATTAGGCTCAGTGCTCTGCTGAGATATGTAAGCCAGCTAGTAAAACACAGGAAAATCCATTTTCTTCTAGCAACTCCTTCCAAGGCATTCCTGGAAGTGTCACCCATCAAAGGCCAAAATGTAAAACAACACGTTGTGTTTAAATGCTACACCATAAGAAGTATGCCCACTCCGCAGATTACCTGGAGACTGGACAACGGCATGGAGTTCTCCAGTAAGTGAAGTAGTTCTCGCTTTCTCTGTTTTCTTTCCTACTTCATTTCGAAGGGTTTTTTTGAAATGTTCTGGCACCCTCTGGTGGCAGGATTGCCAGAGGACACCATTTAATATTTCATCTGTTCTTTCCCAGGAGATTTACCTTTATAACCAATCAGTATTATGCCTTAATCTTGAAAGACTAATAACAAATAATAAAAATTTTTTTTTTGCTTAAAACATGGTAGAAATTTAAAGTTGAATGTTGATTATGGCCTCTTAAAAGTTGATGAAATTTCCTAAAACAAGAGGTACATGCTTTTAGTATATGCTTAGCTGTATGCTTTTAGTCCTGAGCATAGTAACTTTTTAGCAGGCATAAAGCTGAGAATACACTTAACATGATACGTGTAGTTGGGACAGACATGATCGTACTTATATAGTGTACTACTGTGTCATATTCCCAATTACAGATGAAAATTTTATGGTAACAAAGAATCTAAACGTGGAGCCGTTTGATTGAAGCAGGATAACTAATTAATTGTGATGTTTGGGAACTGTATATAATTTGCTTACATTTCAAAAGACATTCCATTTAATATTTATGTAATCATAGTTTCTTAGAGCTGGAAGGGACCCTTTACAGTTCAGAAAACTGAGGGCCAAATGGAGTTCTAGAGAAAAGACCTAAAGCCCAGATCCAATTCCCAATCCAGTGTCAATCTACTTCATTATAAAATCTCTCTGTTAATTTGCCTATATTCATGCAACCTGAACAACCTCTTGGGTCTTTGTGTCTCACAACACCATCAGGTTATCCTTCTTGCACTACAGGCTTTGAATTTGCCTCCAGTAGTGAAGGGTTTGAAAGGAGCCCTGGCGGTGCTATTGTTAAGCACTCAGCTGCTAACCAAAAGGTCAGCAGTTTGAACCCACCAGCTGCTCCAAGGGAGAAAGATGTGGCAATCTGCTTCCATGAAGATTACAGCCTTGGCAACAATATGGAGCAGTTCTACTCTGTCCTAGAGGGTCACTGTGAGTCAGAATCAACTTGATGGCAGTGGGTTTGGGGTTTGGTTGTGAAGGGTTTGTAGAAACCTATTCGCCTGCTTCCCTTTGTGACCAGAGACAAATATGTACAAGGCGGGGCTAGCTGATGCTTGAAGTCTAATGTGTTTGCCACAAAGTCAAAGCCACTGGTGTCTGAGAGAACCAAACTCTTCTAATAGCATTGCCTAATCACAACCTCATATACCTCTTTAAATTGCTATATAGGTGGACCTTATCATAGTTTTGAACCTGATAGGAAGAAATCTAATACTACCAGCATAATCAATGTGTTTACGTATGACAAAAATTCAACAGTGGACTGCATTATCCGACATGAAGGCCTGCGAGAGAGAAAACTGGTAACAACCTTCCGGTTTAAAGATTTGGGTAAGAAGCAGTGACGTCACTAGGGGGCGGCGAGGGGTTTGTACCACACCGAGTGACACTATCAGAGGGGGTGACATCAAAATGACTGTGTATAAAATTTCTGTGCAGTGTTTCAGCAGAATTTTATTATTTTTTATAAAAATATCCCTTTAGTTAGTTATAACAACAAGTATCAACATACCAACAAGGCTAAAACTCTAAGTTAATTTACTTTTTGAACCTTCTAATGCCTTCTGATCAAAGCTTTCATTATTACTCAATTGCAGTGACGCTTGTAATCGTGTGGTTTTGTCTGCATGTGCTACAAACATGTGCTGTTGTTTTTGTTGCTGCCAGTGTTTTTATAGTAGCTGAGTTTGTCAATTTTTCTGGTGTTTTAGCTGCAATATTGTGGTAATTAATATTTGTGAACATTTATCAATAACTTTTTTGAGAATGAAGTAGTAACTAATGAAAAAGAAGGAATTTACAATTTATGAGTAACATTAGTACGAAAAACATTCTGTATGGTCGGATACCGCAGGAGGTCCACGGGGTTGTGGGGAGTGGGTAACTCCATGAGTTACCACACTGGGTAACACCAACCCTAGTGATGCCACCGTTAAGAAGAGCAAATTATTGTCTTTAATCATTTCTAATTTACCTGAATATTATACTATCAAACAAATTAAATTGAATGGGCAAACTCCTTCAGAGTTAAATTACTATCAACCAAGCTCTCCTTAATAGCAAATTGCTTCAATGATTGAAATTTTTCCATCTGAGTAATTGTTTCAATGTTGAAAAGAAGCTCAGTTATGCAGAAAGACCAGCCAAGCATCATCTATAAACGGTGTCATGCTTGTTTTTTGATAATGATAGCTAGCATAATTTGACCTTAAATAGTTTTATTGTAGTCATGTATTTGGAGAGATCAGATAAAGCATACTGCGTCTTTGTACTTGACCCAAAAGGAGATAACACTAACTAAAATAAATCTAAACTTGTCCATATTGTTTTATATTAATAGAAAATACTCATGCAGTCACATCAAGACATGGTTACTCTTCATGGTTACTATTTAATTTTATAAGATTTATTTTTTTATGGCTGTTTTGAAGATTTTAGTTTAACCATTTTAATACCCTGAGCAGATCACCATTTAAAACATGAAATATTAAATGTGAAGAGGGCTCACATCTATTTTCAAAATCTGTGTTCTATAACTCCTTCTCCAAAAGTCCAACAAAAAAAATTGTAGAACTATGTAAGACTCTTTGAGCCAAGGGGTCTCCTGTAAAAAGTAGCATGAATCGTGAGTCATGTATTAGCACTCTGTAATTAGTAGGAGCTTCATGGTCTTATAAGGTTCTTCTCAGTGTTAAAAGAGATTCCCAAAGTACAAGCAACCACTCACATTAGTGAAGGAGGAAAATGTTGGATGCTGATGTATTTACTGAGAAATCTCTTTTATTAAATGAAATAGCTGATAAGCAAAGGCATGTGTTAAGGGTGAAGTTGTTTACTAGAAAGTCGCTGTTGGAAAGTTGATGCGCTGTCCCATGGGAGCTATTGCTGTGGTTCTCCTGCCCTTCTCGCTGCCACATGCTTTCCACAGGTCACTTTCTCATCAAACCAACAATAGTTCTTGAGCCAGCTGCATTAGAAGCCTCAAGCACCCATAACCCACCGGACTGCACCATAGTCTTACAAAACCTCATCCTTCCACCTCATCTGTGGAATGGAGCATAGGGGCTGTGGAGAGGATTACCAAAGGCAAAATAAGACTTTATCTGTCAAATGTTTTCCAAGACATTCAGATTCTTAAATAAAAGAACCAACAATATGGAAAAAACAGATATTTTGACTTTTCAGCAATCGTTCAAGTCATCTACAAAAATTATGACTGAGGGGAAAAATTGCAATTTCTCCTCCTTCACAACAATAGTTACCCGTGATTCAAAATCATAGCTACAAAATGTTTTTAATAATAATAATAAATTAAGACTTGACTTCTGTTTATGATCTAGCTATAGATTATCTGGCATCCACTGTTAGATCACCAACAGGTCTTCAAAGCAGAACTCCACTATCAGCTGTTGGTGACTTCTGTTTGCTTATTATTTTTATCCTTTGGTGAGCTACTACATTGACATACAGATATTACAAATGTTTATGGAAAATATAAATATTACAAAACTAATTTCCAATTAGTTTAAAAATTGCTGAAGATGCAAAAATTTAAAACCCTTTAAAAATCATTTACAAGTAAACATTTAAAAATACTTTAAAACACCTTAAAAAACAAGTCCTAACTTGTAAAGTAAGGATTCTGACCCCTTCCATCTCCACATTCTCTGTAAGGCAGGACCTGGAGGAAATGGGGATCATACAAGCACCATGTCTGAGTAAAGACAGCCTTTCTTTTAAAAGCTGACAGTGTGATGCTTGAAGGAGAACAGAACAACAGGAAGAGATTAGACTACCTTTGAAATAATTTATGTCATCATTTTAGTATTACAAATGAGCAACCTAGGTTTCCTATTACTTATCTGGGAATGGAATACAAAAAGGTTATAGCAATAGTTCTCAAATGTTTTGGTTTCAGGAAATTTTACACTCTTAAAAATAATTGAGAACCTCAAATAACTTATATTTTTGTGTTATATCTGTCAATATTTACCCATTGGAAATTAAAACTGAGAAAAATTTTAAGTATTTATTAATTTATTTAAAAATAATAAACCCATTACATATTAACAGAAATCACATATTTTTGTGGGGAAAAAAACATATTTTACAATACCAAAAAAATTAGTGAGAAAAATGGCATTGTTTTTACATTTTTGGAAATCCCTTTAATGCCTGGCTTAATAGAAGATGGATAGTTCTCATAACTTCTACATTCTATTTCTTGCAATGTGTTGCTTTGCTTGAGGTATATTCTAAAAATTCAGCTTCACACAAATACATAGTTGGAAGGGAAGAATATTTTAATAGACTTTTCAGATAATTGTGGATATTCTTCTTTGATACTACAGTACACGAAACTTGACAAGAAGTGGTTTCTTAAAGGTTAGTTGCAATATGGACTCTGACAGCCTATCAATACATTTTTCATACTCTGATACATTAAAATCCATTGAGTTCTCTTGCCCTTCGAATGAATGATTTTATAACATTACGCGTTGGTCATTTGGAAGGTATTGGTTCACTGAGTTGTGCAGTCCTTTCAAATGTTGACACACTTCAATATCAAAAGCACATTCATATTAATATCATCACCAATCTCATCAGAAAAGTCTTACATATTGGGAAGCTGTCAAGCACATGGTGGTGGATACAAGGTTTCCAAAATCAGAATTTTCCTACTGAGCACTTGAAATGTGGCTAGTGAAACTGAGGGAAAACATTTTTTAATATTATTCAATTTTAATTAATTTAAATATTTAACGCATAGCCTGTGGCTACTGTATTGGACAGCACAGGTCTATAACATTCTGATAGACTAGGGAAGAAAATCATGTCTCACTGGTATCCACCTAATCAAAACAACATTCAGTCTAAACACATCTATTTATCAGCTTGTCAATTGAGAGAATAAATCAAAATAAAAACAAACTCTAGTTTAAATAAAAACTATATATATGTGTGTATATACATACACACACCCTAGTTTTGTACATAAATATATAATTAGCTATATCAGCATAGTATACACTGTGCTGAAAGATCTTATTATTGATAAACTTGACTCTATTTGTCTCCAGTATTTCCCATATTATGCTGTTTTTATAATTTGCTTCCAGCACTTCTATTTAGCTAGCTTTTAAGCTCTTCTCTCTTTTCATTGTCGTTGCTTTTTTCTTTCTTCAATATTCTCTGGCATATTTGTGGTCGCACAGCTCATTTTAACCTTATAGTCTACATTACATTCCTCTAATGTTTTTGACTCAGGGGAACCGCATGTGTGTCAGAATAGAACTGTGCTCCATAGGGTTTTCAATGGCTGATTATTCAGAAGTAGATGGCCAGGCTTTTCTTTCGAGGCACCTCTGGATGGACTCCAACCTCCGACCTTTCAGTTAGCAGGCAAGCCTGTTAAACATTTGCACCACCCAGGAATTCTGACTAATAAATAGGAAGGTAGATATGTGAATGGGTAGACAGAGAGACAGACACACAAATGGATGGAAGGATGGACGGATGGACAGAGGAACGATCGGATATAGATGGATACAGACAGACATAGTGAATACCCTTTGCCTCCTGCCAAACGCAGCACTAGGACATAGATATAAAAACCAGAGAAAGAGCTGCAGAACACATAGCTCTTAGGTTTCTGCAAAACCTCCACAAGCAGGTATCAACCAGATACATTCTCAAATCTATTTTACCAAGCACAACTTGGGTAAAATTGCTCTCCGTAGTTGCGGAATTTTGCTTTTCTCCTTTCCTAGTTGCTGATCAAGAAGACATTTCAGATACTCAGAAGGCAAGCTCTGCATCCTCTCAAAGCCCTCAGTATTCCACCGGTGCTGGTAAGTGTCTGAATCGTCAATTTTTTTTTTTTTTTTTTTTTAAAGCATGCCTCCTTGGGAAGGTCACATTTCCAAATCTAATTTTTAAGAGTATTTTTTTTATTTTAATTTTTATTAAAGACCACATGGGACCCCCTCCAACTGGCTCAAGCTTTATGGTGCTCTTGGAGTAGTGGTGCATCAGAAATGGGATAGGCTTCAGGATAACATGATGCCTTGTAGGTTCAGTGCTATTTTGCTCCTTAAGGGGGAATATATATATATTTTAAATATATGTATTTAAAATGTGATCTATATATATGCATACGTGTATATGAGTATATATAACATAATAAATGTATATAAACATATATATTGAATAAAAATACATATGAAGTCAAAGTCATGATAAGAAAAATATTTTTTTTCTGATTGTGACATTTGACCTTCCTCTGAAGTAAACGGCAAGGTTAAATTCATTTATGGGAAGACGGGTTTGTTTGTTTTGCTGTCTAGAACAGACCAAACACAAAATAAAGAGCAAAGTAGCAGGATCCGGAGATTTGGAGTTCTTTGTCAGTGAATAACAAAATCATCTTTGAAGGCACGTTAGTTATTTGGTTGTCAAGCACCCAGATCTTTTTGTTTGTTTTAGTGTGTAAAAATATATATAACAAAACATTTGCTAGTTCAACATTTTTTACACATACAATTCAGTGACATTGATTACATTCAGACCATTTTCAGTGATGGGACTGAAATGTGAATGCAGGAAAATTTAGAAAACTTAGATGATTAATTTTGGGCAGTGATCATATATTTATCTTTGTATTTTACCTGGCATGGTATCTAGCAATAGTAGGTGCTCAGAAATGCGGAATGAATGAACGATGAACAATAATGAATGAATTTGTTATGATGCTTTGAGCAAGACAGCCTCATCCAGAAAGGCATAAATTTCTACATGTTCCGTTTCATAGAGTGTCTCTATAATAATTTCCTTTGGTGGGATAAATGCTTTCATATCATTATCACGTTCATAGTTCTGAATATCATATCATATTTTTCATTTGATTTTGTATCCTGAACACTGGTGGCACAGTGGTTAAGCGCTCGGCTGCTAACCGAAAGGTCAACAGTTTCAACCCACCAGCTGCTCTGCAGGAGAAAAATGTGGCAGTCGGTTTCCATAAAGATTACAGCATTGGAAATTCTATGGCACAGTTCTACTCTGCCCTATAGGGTTGCGATAAGTCAGAATCAACTTGATGGCAACGGTTTTGGGGTGGGGTTTTTTAGTTTTTTTTTTTTTTTTTTGTAATAATATTTAGAAGTGAATGTTTGGGGTTTTTTAAACTCTCATAAATACAATGTGTACCATACAGTTGACTAGCAATGGAAATTGAAAATACTATAAAGTGGAACAGAATATCACTTGCTTGTAAAATCCCATCTTTTTAAAGGTGTTTAGAATCTAGTTGTCTTTAAACTGGTTTACACCACTACTGAACAACTCAATTTTCTGCTCTGATTTTTCATGTGTAGCAGAAGATTTGAAAAAATATGGTTTCTAAAATTCTTTCAGCTTTCAATTTCTATAGTTTTATTACTGTTAATAGTACCTATTTTCAGTAAAAGAATGGGTGGATTCATTCCTCTTGGGGGCCACCTAGTGGCGCTGTGCAGCGGGCTATAAAGCAAGAGACCACAGAGGGGGAAAAAACAGAAAATAGGGAAGGTAAGCAAAAAAAGAGCTCTTATTTTTATAATTTTTCTTGTCTAGCAAAAATTTTATAGTACGTCCCACTTCTAAGGGAAGGCAACCATAGGTTTGAACGATAACTGAGCCTATTTCTCAACGTACAAATCATTGCTTTGTGCATTTCAGACCTAGGTTCTCTATTCACAAAGCCAGAATGCCATTCCTCAATGTTCAGTTGTTATCTTGAAGCATCCTTCTCCCTAGTAGGCCTGATTCAGGAAGGAAGTATTGTATACTTAGCAGAATATAATGGTTTAAAATTTGGGCTCTGGAGTTAAAAAAACAAACAAACAGAGTTTCAGTATTGGCTTTGCCACTGACTTGATGTTGGACTTCTGGCAACTTACCTAGCTGTCCTAATCCTCTGCTTTCTAAGCGCTGAGGTACAAGGCCTAGCACAGAGTAAGCGTTCAAGAAATGTTTACCTTAAAAAAAAAAGCAAAGCAAGTCTGGCCATTTGCAATTATTTTTGCTAAGAAATTATTTCAAAAATGACCTTGTTGCTCTTTAAGGTGGATCACTTTTTTTCATTTCTCAAGCTGCTTTGGGAAGACTATAGATAGATAGAGAATCCCTGGGTAGTGGAAACAATTAATCCAAAGGTTAGATGTTGGAGTCCACAGAGGCACCTTGTAAGAAAGGTCTAGTGACCTACTTCTGAAAAATCAGCCATTAAAAATCCTATGGAGCACAGTTCTGCTCTGACACACATGAGGTCACCATGAGTCAGAGCTAACTTGACAGCAGCTGGGTTTTGGTATATATATACACCCAAACCGAAAAACCAAACCCATTGCCATCGAGTCAAATCTGACTCATAGCAACCCTATAGGATAGAATAGAATTTCCCCACAGGGTTTCCAAGGCTGTAATCTTTACAGAAGCAGATTGCCACATCTTTCTTCTGCAGTATGTATCTATATCTATCTATATAGGCAGATAGATATAGTGACACATATATATGATATATGTATATATTGTGTACACATCATGTCTTGCTTTCTTTCACCTTAGTCACAATAATGAAAATTTCCACTATATCAGAAAATGACAAGAAAAAGGAAGAAGGAACCATTCAAGACCCTGACTTGACCACTAGTAAGTGCGACCCACTGCATTTAGAATAAACACTCGACATTTTAACCTCTTAATCAATAAGCCCAATGGCCTTTTTCAGTACTCGTTTTTCTTGACATTTCTGCCCTATAGACATGATTGGCTAGTTAATCACTCCCTTGTCCCTTCTTGACCTAATTGTCTCCCTGGCTTCCTTGACATACTCTGCCTCATCCTGTTCCTTTGTTGCTAACCACTCCTCTTTGTCTTTCAGCTAACTCCACTTCTTCCTCCTGCTTCTTAAAGGCAGATGCTTCTGAGTTTATTTCTCCATCCTCTGTTCTTTCCTCTCTTGAAGAGTTTATCTGTTCTCAAGATTGTCCCTGTTGCTACTAAGCAGAACGTTTTGTACCTGTATTTCCAGAACATTCTCCTGAGCATTAGTCCCTGTTTCATTCCATTTTCTAAATATCTCTAGCTGAATATTCTGCCTTCAACTCAAACTCAACATTGCTAGAAACAAAATAGCATCTTTCTTCCACAAAATCAGCTAGTCCAAGGCATCACACAGCCCAAAACCTTGTGGTCATCCTACACTCTTGCCTCTTCAGTCAGTTTCCAAGGACTTTTGAGTCTTTTCTTTCAGGTATTTTGTTCATTATTTCTGCCACTACCCTATTCAAGACGCTCATCATCTCATGCATGAAGTAATACGATTTCAGTTTCTCTTCATCTGGTCGGTTTTTGACACGCTATGGTCAAAGACCCCTTCACGTCTGTATTCAGAAAACTTCTAAGGCTTCCCACAGTCCACAACAAAGAGTCTGAACAGCAAAACTTCACCACCAACCCCTGCAGTCCTTCCACTGCCATCTCTGCAGTCCCTCCACCACCACCTCTGCAGTCCCTCCACTGCCTACCCCTGCAGTCCCTCCACCACCACTGCTGCAGTCCCTCCACTGCCACCCTTGCAGTCCCTCCACCGCCACCTCTGCAGTCCCATCTCTAAGCAGTCCCTACATAGATCCACATTTTTCTCTGAAAACATCATCCCATTTCTATTGTACGGCTGTCATTTATCCTAACTGCCTCTGATGGAAGGAGAGACCTCATCACTTCTCTCCTTCTTCCTGCTCCCCTCTTCAAAGCCAACATCTTCACTGAAAACTTTCTCCACTAACTCAGCCCTCAGGGACCATTTCTGCCTGAGTGCTTGAACACATTATTGTATAAACTACACTGATGAATCTAGCATTTAGCATATCTTACTGTTGTTTGTTTTCATTAGTTCAGTTATTTACATGAACAGAGAACTTCCACTAAAATGTAAGGATTATGTCTCATGCATGGAGTTCTACACACAACCGGCACTCCTAAATTGCTTGTGGCTGAAAGGAAGGAACCAGGATATTCAACAAAACGACAGTCCATAGAATCTAGGTTCAGAAAGACCTCTGAGAGTTCATCTAGTTTATCCCAAATACCTTTATGTAGGACCACATTGAACCTAGCCAAAATAAATGAATTCTCATTTTACTTGGCTAATATTCCAAGCTTCTTAACAATTTGTATTGTAACTTAATCACACTTGGCTAAGAAATCATTCCTTATGACTAATTGGACTCCTGTGACTGTAATTTAAGTCAATCTTCTTGCAAGCTTTCTGCAGAAATGAAAATTAACTGGCTCAATATCTATGTAACTTAAAGATCATTTTCAAATCATCCCACAGCATTGCTTTGTTTGTCTGTTAGCTTTTCTCAGAGAATGAACAATATGAGCCTCTTTACCTTCGCAGTAAATCTCCCCCTCATCTCTTCATCTGAACTGCCCATCAGCCTACACTGCATTTTCAAAGTAATGTATGTATTCCTCAGTGATTAAATAAAAAAAAAAAACTGTCTAAAATCCTTTTGTTTCTGTTATAGAAGAGAAATCCAAGTCTATAGGATTAATGAGTAGGAAAAGTGGCATAATCTTGCTCAGTCTCGTGTCCCTTCTCATGTTGGCACTCCTCATCATTGTCCAGCTCTTCATAATGAAGCTGCGGAAAGCACATGTGATATGGAAAAAAGGTGAGTGGGCAGTGAGCCTGATGGAGGCTACAGGATGCCGAAACAACTTCCAATTAAAGCTTTCCCGATAGAGGCTGCGCAGTCCATTTGATAAGTGTTGTCACTCAAGGAACCAGTTATTTTCCAGTAAAACTCGGGATCTGAATTTCCAGGGGGCTATAGTCAAAGAGGAGCCCTGGTGATCCAGTGGTTAAGAGCTACAGTTGCTAACCAAAAGGTCAGCAGTTCAAATCCACCAGCCGCTCCTTGGAAACCCTATAGGGCAGTTCTACTCCGTCCTGTAGTGTTGCTATGAGTCGGAATCAGCTTAACAGCAATGGGTTTGGTTTTGTTGTTGTTGTTTTATAGTCAAAGCAGGGAGCCCTGGTGGCACAGTGGTTAAAGCGCCCAGCTGCTAACTGAAAGGTCAGCAGTTCAAAACCAGCAGCATCTCCCTGGGAGAAATAGGTGGCAGTCTGCTTCCATCAAGATTATAGCCTTGGAAATCCTATGGAGCAGTTCTACTCTATCCTATAGGGTCACTATGAGTTGGAATCAACTTGACGGCAATGGGTTTGATTTTTGGTTTATAGTCAAAGAGTTTATAACCAAGAGAAACTAGAGTAGCTCTGGGAATTAGCATTAAGTTAGCAGCTTCTATTCACAGAAGGATACAAAGTAGAGAGCTCATTCATTAATTTATTGAATAAACATTTGTTGAGCACCTACTGTCTGCCAGCTACTGTTACAAGCACTGGGGACGTATCTGTCAACAGGACACACCAAGTCTATGCTCTCAAGGAGTTCGTATTCTAGGGATGACTGAGCAAATGTTGAATATAATAGACTGTTTCCATTTCATTCCTACTTTGCAAGAACCCACTCAACCTTACTCTATCATAATAGTAATTTTTCTCTAAATTTTACTTATTTTGTTGGTGAGAATACACAGCAAAACATACACCAGTTCAACAGTCTCCTACATGTACCATTTAGTGACATTGATTACATTCTTTGGGTTGTGCCACCATGCTCACCCTCATTTTCTGAATTGTTGTCCCCCATTAACGTAAACTCACTGCCCCGAGGTTCCTATCTAATCTTTCCAGTTGCTGCTGTCAATTTGATCCCATATAGATAGATCTTAAGACAGCACAATGCTCAAGGCAGACATTCTTTACTAGTTAAACTAAACTATTATTTGGCTTTAAGAAGACTTCAGGGGATATTTTTGGTTTAAGGTTTAAAGATAATGTCAGGGCAATCATTTCAGGGGTTTCTCTACCCTCCATGGCTGCAGAAAGTCTGGAGTCCATGAGAATTTGAAATTCTGTTCTACCTTTTTCTCCATTTGATTGCAGTCAATAAGTTGTACACCTGTTAAAAGTTAAACTGGCAAAAGATGTGTGATAGATGTATTTACAATAATGATCCAAAAAAAAAAAAAAAAAAAGATCAGCTGCTGAGCCTGTTTATGTAGAACCAAACGCCTCAGGGGATTTGGTTCCTTGGTGTGGAGGTTCAGTTCATGGTTTCATGGGGCGTCCCAGTTAATTGCCCTCATAATGTGTTTAGTGCTTCTGTTCTATCTCCTAGTTGATTGAGTAGTACCTGGGGTCTTAAAAGCTTGCAAGCAGCCATCCAAGGCACAACAATTGGTTGGTCTCTATTCCCCTGGAGCAACAGAGAAAAAAGAAGAGTCAGGAATAAGAAGAGAATATGGAATTTGTCACTATTTGCCTCCATGAACAACTGCTCCTTTGCCATGATACCAGAAGAACTGGGTGGTGGCTGGCTATAATAATAGTAATTTTTATCTGCATTTTGATTAAAAAGTTATCATTGGAGACAAACAAAAAATATATATTATTTAGCTAGCATGGGAGATACCTATTAAAATGCATATACCCAACACATGTCAAAGCTGGAAGGGAACTTAGAATTTACACAGAATAACCATCCACTCAATTCATTCCATAAACGTATGCCAGGATTAAATCCCTTCTTTAATTCTGAGTCATTATCCAACCCTGTGCTAGCCGATAAGTAACCACAATATGGCTATTGAGCACTTGCAATGTAGTTAGTCCCTACTGAGTTGTGCTGTAAGTGTAAATACACACCGAATTTTGAACACTCGGTATACATACACACAACACACGAAAATTGTTGGCTATCTAATAATAATCTTTTGGATCTACTGAATTAAATAAAACATATTACTAAATTAATTTCACCTGCTTTTTTCCATTTTTACCATGGCTACTTGAAAATTTTTAATTATACGTGAGGTTCACATCATAGTGCACATAGGACAGTGCTGATCCTGCTACATGTGGCTCAGGCACCTCCAGTGACAGAGAACTGATTGTGCCCCAAGGCAAAGTATCGTGTCTTTTAATAGCTCTGACCCTCTTAAATGTACCACTTCTCCTAGTCTAATATCAGTCACTCTAGATATTCAGCATACACATCATAAATAGACCCAATGACAGGGTCTGACTTTTTAGCTGTACCTACACAATAAGCAAATATCATAGTGTTCTTTCAAAATCTCCCATTAATGCTTCACCCCAAGAGTTCTTTAACGACTACTTGAGTTGTTCCTTCCTGGAGAACAATACTTGATTCTAATCTGCTATCATTTAGACTTTCCACAACTCTTATACTGCCTAGCATATAGTGCCTGAAGGAATCATAGAAAAGATTCCAAAATGATTCTTTGAATTAATGAAGCCATGGAGTATGAGAGGAGGAGTGGTAAGTCTATTATAGTACAATAACAGAGGTGTCATCTTATCCAAACATACATTTCTGTATATAGATGATGTCTACACCCATTGCCTTCCAGTCGATTCCAACTCATAGCGACCCTATAAGACAGAATAGAACTGCCCCATAGGGTTTCCAAGGAGTGGCTGGTGGAGTCAAACTGCCAACTTTTTGGTTAGCAGCCAATCTCTTAACCACTGTGCCGCCAGGGCTCCAGATGATGTCTGTGACACCAGAAATTAGTAACTTAATTTTCTTTTCTTGTAGAAATTGAAATTTCAGGTCACATAGTGGACAGTAACAAATCTAGGTCAAATACTGAAGAACCATCATCCCAAGACAAAAATGGCCAAAGTGAGTAAACTGTATGACCTGAGATTTAAAAAATAAGGTTCATTAATTTGTTGCCTGTAAGAGGGAGGGTAAAAATGAAAGTTTGGTTTTTAGCACGAGAAAATCAATCTCCTAAATCATCTTGCAAAACTTAAGGGAGAGCATTTCAATAAACATAACTTAGCAGTTAAGTTCATGCAGCTGAAGTTACGCCTTCTTGGGAAGCCACCCTTGACGCCCCAGCTGTCACACACACAGGCACAATCCCTGGCCTGCATGCTCCTCCTGGGCTCCACATGTCCTATACACTTTATCAGTGATGCACTTCCCACACTGTGCTGTAATTTTTGGTGTTTTGATTTAGCTACCACAATACTCCTTCAGGCAGTGATTAATTGGATTTACTCTCTCCTATCATAGGGCCTGGCACCAATTGAGTGTTTGATAAATTTATATTGAATAAATGAGTACAAGAAAGAAAAAAAAAACAGTTGCCTTCGAATTGACTCTGACACATGGTGACCCCATGTGTGTCAGAGAAGAACTGTGCTCCACGGGTTTTCAATGGCTGATTTTTTTAGAAGTAGAATGCCAGGCTTTTCTTCTAAGGCACTTCTGTGTGTACTCGAATCTCCAACCTTTCTTTTAGTAGTTGAACGTATTAATCATTTACACCACCCAGGGACTCCAAACTAATACAAGGTTTAAATAATTCAAGCAAAAACGTTGCAGGTGTTTTGGATGACTTTATTGCAATTCCTCAAGCAAAAAATATAGGGAAAATGAAAAAAGTCTAAATGGGAAGAAGATTGTGTGTGTGTTCTTGACAAAGATGTAGTAGGCAGAAATTAGAACTATAGTAAAACAATAATATTCCACTTTCCAACCCTTTTATTCCCTCCATGCAAAATAACTTATTCCATCTACTGAGGGTGGCAAGAAATGCAAGAGCTTCGTCCCTCCTTTCTATTTGTTTGATTGAGGTTTGTGTAGGACCCCTGTCTTTTTCAATTGCCTTCTTTTTTTTTTTTTTTTTAATCTAGTAGAGTGTGAAATGGAAAGAACAATAGATGTACTAGCAGAGGGACACGAGGGAACTGACTGTGAAAACTAGGGGTGGGAGGGAAAATGTATGTAAAGGATATACAATCTGTTCTGTTTCCGTAACATCCCATGTTTCTGTAACATCAGCCGTCTCATACTCAACTGGCAAACAGGAGAATGTTGTCAGTGTAAAGTGTAAGTTGGGCTGCTTCTTATGCAGTTTTTCATAGGCAAGGGAAACAAAAACAGTAGAAGTAGAGTTAGAACTTTTAGTAGGAAAGGAAAAAGCCCTGAGTTCAGCTGTTAAACAAGTCGAATCCCTTGCATTTCAACTTTTAAAAACATTAAAATGAGTACCTGCACTCAGGCCTCCCTCCCACAGAAAGATAGCCTAGGTGGTGCAAATGGTTAATGCACTCAGCTGCTAACCAAAAAAATGGAAGTTCAAGTCCACCTATAGTGCCTCAGAAGAAAGGCCTGGTGATCTGCTTCCAAAAAATCAGCCATTGAAAACCCTGTGGAACACAGTTTTACTTTGACACACTTGGGATTGCCATGAGTCAGGGCTGACTCTAGGACAACTGGTAGGGGCCTGCCATGGCTCAGGAGAGGCTGCACTCTCTCTACTTCCATCTGCCTAGCCTCAGCACTCTCAATGCAGCACTTGAACTCTACTGTTTTTGCACATTTAGAAAATATCTTCTGGGGCCATCTCTAGCTTCAGTTAGTGCTCTGTCTATAAGGCTGTGTAGGTTTTGAGGGGTCTGCCCCTTTTCCCATTTAAAAAAAAAAAACACAGTTGTCATAGAGTCAATTCCTACTTTTGGAGACCCCATCTATGTCAGAGTAGAACTGTCCTCCATAGGGTTTTCAGTGGCTGATTTTTCAGAAGTAGATCACCAGGCCTTTCTTCCAAGGCACCTCTGTGTGGCCTCAAACCTCCAAGCTTTCAGTTAGCAACCAAGCATGCTAACCTTTGCATCACCCAGGGACTCCCCTTCTCCCATAAGTGCTTTAAGATGCAATTTTGCTGAAGGTAACGTTGTTTTTTCTATCAGCAACACATATGTTAGTGACTTTATAGTAGAAATGCCTGTATATTTTATTTCGGGTTTGTTAGTATATTATCTGTGTAGCAAGACTTTAAAGAGCCTTGGTGGCACAATGATTAAGTGCTTGGCTGCTAACCAAAAGGTCAGTTGTTCGAACCTACTAGGTGCTCCATAGGAGAAAAGACCTGGTAATCTGCTCCTGTAAAGACTACAGCCTAGGAAACCCTATGGGGTAGTTTCACTCTTCCCTATAGGATTGCTATGAGTCAGAATCGACTCGACAGCAAACAACAACAGCAAGACTTGTAAAAAACTAGAATACAGCAATGCATTCAGGCTATTTGTATGCGTCAGTGAGTTTTACATTTGATTTTAGAATCCATTAACATAATGACCTGAAACTATATTGCTCAATAAAAATGATTTGAGTAAATGGGTGCCACTTTGTTCAAAATAAATATTTATCTTCAACATGTTTTTCTTTTAACTACCCATCCTAAGAGCTGCATGAACTACATCACACAGTTTTACACAGAAAAGCAAAAACAAAGAGGGAGGGAGATGCACAACACTGACAATTAAAAGGCACACACTCATAGACTAGAGGATATTGTGTAGTGCCCCTGCAACAGGAAATATTATTCCAGGGCAGCCACGTTGTCCCCTCAATGGATCAGGCTGTGTGGATCAGGGTCAGTGTGACCAGCTAATGTCTTACTGTGAAGGAAACAGAATTGTTTAAATGCTAGGTTCTAGCGAAACTACTTTAAAAAAAATAAATAAATAAATCTTTTTTTATTCTTTCCTTCTCATCTTCAAATAACAAATTTTAGGATGAAAAGGACCTAAAGAAGAGTCTGACTCCAAGGAGGTTACTTTAAAGATGGACTTTATGAAGAGGAACAAGCACCTGCAGTGTCAGGGAGAAACAGTGCATAATAATGAGTCTAAACAGTCGTTTAGCTTAATTGGTAAGGAATGTCTGCTTAAGCATTGTGCTGTTTTAGAGAACTATATACGTGAGATCAAACTGACAACAGCAACTCATAGATTAGACGGGAAGCTTAGGAGGTAGTGAGTTTATGTTAATGGTGGTGGATAATTTGGAAAAGGATAGAATATAATCAATGTGACTAAATTGTACGTGGAGAAATTGTTGAGTTGACGTATGTTTTGCTGTGCATATTTTCACCTATATATATACATATATATATACACACATAATCATGAATGGGTCTGATGAGCATGAATGTCCCAAGCTCCAAGAAGTTAGTTCAAGGTAGACTCAAAGATTATATTTTCTTGCCAAATCACATGAACTATCCTGATAGACCAAGTGTTTACCTGGACACTTCATACAAAAACATGTACAAAATAAAAAAAATAATTTATTGTTTATTGATCTAATGAATGCTTTAAAAAAAAACTTTATTTAATAAAGAGTAAACTACATATTTGTCTTTCTAGTGGTTATATTCCAAGTCACTTTCACCTTATGACATTTTTTTTTTTTTAATCAGTTTATTTAAGGTATAGCAAACTCTGGTGTTAATGTGATTTCTGAACAATCACAAAGTTACAGAAAGTTGCCAAGATAGTAGAAAGCGTTTTTTCCACTGAACCATTCGAAAGTAAGCTAACAGGATGCTTCCTCACCCCCCAAATCCTTTAGTGTGTATTGTCTACCAACAAGGGACACTCTCTTCTATAACCACAATGTAGTCATCAAAATCAGGAAATCAACACTGGTGTATTTCTGCTAACAGTTTCTCCAATTGTCCCGAAGGATCAAGTTCAGAATCACTTGTTTCATTTTAGTCTCCTTCAGTTTGGAACTGTTCCTCAATCTTTCCTTACCTTTCATAACTAACATTTTTTTAAGATTACAGGCCAATTATTTTGTATGTTGTCCCTCATTTTCGGTTTATCAGGTGTTTCCTCATGATTAAATTCAAGTTATGCAATTCTAAAAGGACTATCACAGGAGATGTTATGTTTATCTCATTGTAGCCTATAAAGTGGTACATGGTTTCAATTTATCCCATTTTATTGGTGATAGTCACTTTGATCACCTTGTTAAGGTGGTACCTACTAGACTTCTCCACTGTAAAATTACTCTATTTTCCTTTGTAAATTAATAACATTGTGGGCAGATACTTTTAAAATATGCAAATATCCTATTCCTCATCAAATTTTCAAGTTATTCATTTATTTATATCTGTATGACCTCAAGCTTTCCTATGTTATTTAATGTTTATATGTTTATAATCTGTTACTATCAAATAAACTTATTACTAATTTGATGCTCAAATTGTGGAAGCTGTCTTCTGTGTCCTTTTGATATGTACCCATCAATCTTAGAGAACTTTCTTGCTTTCTGGTACAAGGTGTTCCAGGTTCATCTTATATTTTCCTGCCCTGGTCTTGGAATCAGCTATTACTCCAAGAAGCTCTGGTTCCTTTTAGTGGAAAATGGTATTTAGAAGTCAAGACTCAGGTGCTACTGAAAAGAGAAATTGACAGTTCCACAATAATAGTAGAAGACTTCAACACACCACTGTTGGTAACAGACAGAACATCTAGAAAGAAACTGAACAAAAATACAGATGACCAAAAGACTACAATCAACCCACTTGACCTCATAGACATATATAGAACACTGTACCCAACAGCAGCAAAGTATACATTCTTTTCCAACACACATGGAACATTCTCCAGAATAGACCACATCTTAGGCCACAAAGCAACCCTCAACAAAGTCCAAAACACTGAGATAATACAAAGCATCTTCTCTGATTACAACACCATAAATGTAGAAATTAATAACAAGAAGAGCAAGAAAACAAATCAGATACATGTAAACTGAATAACACGTTGCTTAAAAACTACTGAGTAATAGAAGAAATAAAAAATGAAATAAAAATTTCCTAGATCAAACAAGAATGGAAACACATCATACCAAAACCTTTGGGACACAGCAAAGGCAGTGCTAAGAGTTCAATTTATAGCAATAGATGCACACATCAAAAAAGAAGAAAAGGACAAAATCAAAATGTTAGCTATACAACTCAATCAAATACAGAACAGAAAAATAAGCCCACAGCCACCAGAAGAAAAGAAATAGTAAAGATCAGAGCAGGAATAAATGAAATACAGAATAGAAAAACAATAGAAAGAATCAGCAACACCAAAAGTCAGTTCTTTGAAAGGATCAACAAAATCAACAAACCATTGGCCAAATCAACAAAAGAAAAACAGGAGAGGATGCAAATAACCCAAATAAGAAATGAAACGGGGGACATTACAACAGATGCAACTGAAATAAGAAGGATCATAATAGAGTATTTCAACAAATTTGAAAACCTAGAGGAAATGGACAAATTTCTAGAAACATACTACCTACCTAAACTAGCACAAACTGAGGTTGAAAATCTGAACAGATCCATAACAAGAGAAGAGATTGAAAAGGTAATAAAAAGAACTCCCAACCAAAAAAAAAGTACAGGCCCAGAGGGCTTCACTGGAGAATTCTACTAAACATTCAGAGCAGAGTTCACACTGGTACTACTCAAACAATTTCAGAACATAGAAAAGGAAGGGATACTTCCAAATTCATTCTATGAAGATAGCATAACCCTGATACCAAAACCAGGCAAAAAGAAAATTACAGACAAACATCTCAATTGAATATAGTTGCAAAAATTCTCAACAAAATTCTAGCCAATAGAATTCAGCATCGTATAAAAAAAAATAATACACTCTGACCAAGTGGGATTCATACCAGGTATGCGAGGATGGTGTAACATTAGAAAATCAATCAATGTAGTCCACCACATAAATAAAACAAAAGAATCACGTGATCATCTCAATCAGAAAAGGCATTCAACGAAGTCCAACACCAATTCCTGATACAAACTCTCAATAAAATAGGAATAGAAGGGAAATTTCTCAATATAATAAAGGACATCTATGCAAAACCAACAACTAACATCATTCTCAATGGAGAGAGGCTGAAAACATTCCCCCTGAGAATGGGAACAAGACAAGGATGCCCTTTATCAACACTCCTATTTAACATTGTGCTGGAAGTCCTAGCTATAGCGATAAGGCAAGAAAAAGAAATGAAGGGCATCCAAATTGGTAAGGAAGAAGTAAAACTATTCCTATTTGCAGATGATATGATACAATACATAGAGAACTGAAAGGACTCCACAGGAAAACTACTGAAAAAATAGAATGATTCAGCAAAGTAGCAGGATACAAGATAAACATACAAAAATCTGTTGGATCCCTATACACCAATAAAGAGAACTATGAAAAGAAAATCAGGAAAGCAATACGATTTATAATAGCCCTTAAAAAAAAAAAAAAGGAATAAATCTAAGCAGGGACGTAAAAGACCTATACAAAGAAAACTACAAAACACTACCGCAAGAAACCAAAAGACACCTACATAAATGGAAAAACATACCATGCTCATGGATAGGTAGACTCAACATTGTGAAAGTGTCAATTCTACCCAAAGCAATCTACAAATACAATACAATCTGTATTCAAATACCAACAGCATTCTTTAATGAGATGGAAAAACTAATCTTTAACTTTATATGGAAAAGAAATAGGCTCCGGATAAGTAAAACATTACAGAAGAAGACAAATAAAGTAGGAGGCCTAACACCACCTGACCTCAGAGTCTACTATACAGCTACAGTAGTCAAAACAGCCTGGTACTGGTACGACAACAGATACACTGACCAATGGAACAGAATTGAGAACTCAGATGTAAATCTATCCACCTACAGTCACCTGATCTTCGACAAGGGCCCAAAGTCCATCAAATGGGGAACAGACAGTCTTTTTAACAAATGGTGCTGGCAAAACTGGATAGCCATCTGCAAAAAAAATGAAACAGAAGTCATACCTCACACCATATACAAAAAACTAATTCAAAATGGATCAAAGACCTCAATATAAAGCCAAAAACTATAAAGTTCATAGAAGAAAAAATAGGATCAATGTTAGAGGCCCTAATACACAACGTTAACAGGATACAAACCATAACCAACAGCACACAAACTCCAGACGATAAGCTAGATAACCGGGATCTTCTGAAAATTAAACACTTGTGCTCATCAAAAGACTTCACCAAAGCAGTAAAATGAGAACCTATGGACTGGGAAAAAATTTTTAGACATTACAAGTCAGACAAAGGTCTAATCTCTAAAATCTACAAGAAAATCCAACACCTCTACAACAAAAAGACAAATAA